GTGTTGTGAAGAGATGCTGGGGCCACTCGTGTGGCAAAGTCCCCCAGGATGGGGCTGTGCCCCGCTGCCCACAGACCCCTGCCACATGTGGGCACCCTGCTGATTTAAATGGGTGTCTCCCCTAACGGGGGTGAGGAGGGATCTGAGCTCACAGCAGGTTCTGGTGGCTTTCCTTAAATTAGGTATTTCACCTGGCTGTAAGAGGACTGATATTGTGTTAATCAAACATTCATTAAAAGCCTCCATTGCTGCTTAATGAAGGCAGAATAAATAAAGATCCTATTATGCAGCTGCAAAAAAAAAAAAATCATGTTTTCAATAACTAGCTGGTGTTTCATTAGCACAATTATCACTTAGAAGCTGAAGCAAGCTCTGTTTGAAACACTTAATTTAAAGGTAAGGCTGGTCCCTTCGAAGGGCTTCGCTTCATCTGAGATCTTCCAGCCCTTCCCTGTGCCGAGCGGAGTGGGTGCCCCAGCCCGGCTCTCTGTTGTGGCTGCACACTGCCCTTCTCCCCCATCCCCAATCCTTCCTTGCCTCCTCTTGTGTGTTTTTTGATTCCCCTCTCAGTCTTGCTGTTGAAACTGTGAAAATTGAACCCCTCCTTCCCCTTCCTCCCCTCTCCCTCCCCCCCATTTCTCCTTCAGGAGATCTCCAAGCGAGAAGACGCGAGTGGGCAGTTAAGCTGTATTCAGCTGCCTGTCGACTCGTCGGGGGTATGTACGCAGCACATCCTACCGCCCGCCGTGGTTGTCTCTCTCGTGGTGCCTGGTCACACGCTGCTGTGCTGTTCTTGTTGTACTAGTTGTTGTCCTTTGGGGGGTTGTTTGGGTGTTTTGGGGTTTGTTTCTTTTTTTTCCTTTCTTTTTTGTCGTCCTCATTGTTGAGTCAGCCTTGATTTTAAGTCCCTTCCTTCTCTGGGGGAGCCAGGTAAATTAAGGTGGGTGCTTCAGGGTGGCTGATGTGGCTCCAGCCCTGGCTCTCGATGACCCCTTTCTGGACGCCTGCCCTGGGGAAGGCTCCCCTTGGGGCTGTTGCAACCCCTCCAAAGCGTGGTCATATCCCAGGGACCTCCCTAGGGATGCGGACGGTGATGCTGGTTGCTGGGCACATCTGCTAAGCGCTCCCTCCATCATGCAGGCAGAGGAGGGTGCCTGGGAGCGAAGGGACCTGGAATCAAGCCTGTTTGTGGACACATGTGGGGGGGAGCCCCGTGCTCAGCAGGATTGGGGTAGGACAGCGGCAGCTGTGCTGTGGTGTGTCCCAGAAAGGTTGGCCGGGATGCTGGGATCTCTGGTGAGAAACCACATTACGGCGTGGGTCAGGATGTGGAATGGTCCCATTCAGGTCCGAGGAACCCGTGGAACTCCGAAGTGCAGCATATTCCAAACCGTATTCTTCTGCCCACCTCATCTTTCTCTTTACCGCTCCTTTTCCTTTCTGTCCTTTCTGAGAAGTCTGGCTTTTCCTTCGGCACAAAAGCCCTTTCCCATCATATCCCAGTGTGTCAGTCCCCCTCAGCACACGCTGGTTTAGCCATTGTACAGTCTGGTCCATCTTGATGTACCCTCATTTCCCAAAAGAATTTTAACTCCCTGTTCTCTCATAACCCCTTTTCTATCCAGAAAGGCAAACTGGGAGTGCAAGAACAGGTAACGGGCAGCAGCCCTGGCTGCGAGATGCTTGCCTGCACCATACTGAGTCTGGCACGTGGTGTTTCAGAGGGGATGCTTTCGGCCCTCCAGACGTGGGGTTTGGTGCTGGGGAGGGGGGTGGGAAGTCCCCACATAGCTCTGCTTTTCCATCTTGGTACACATCTCATTGTGCACCCTAAAACTTTCCTGTGGGCTGTTAAAGAGCACTTCAGGAATACAAAGCACATAAAATTCTTCCCGTTATTTATTCCTTTTTAATAACTCGTTAGGGAGAATGAGTAATTCCTGGCAGGCCCACTGATGGGCTGAGCTGGGAGCCTCCGTGGGGAGCATACCTGGAGCCAGCTGGAGCCCCTGTTCATACGGAGACATGGTTTTGACTCCAGCGAAATTCACGCCAGCCTGACTTTACTGCTCCCCCTTGCAAGGTGCATTCCTGACCTTCCCATTCTGTGTCCTACAGGATGAACTTCCCTGAATAGCACAGAAGTCCTGGATCCTCAGGAGGGGAAGTTTTGAGCCAACACTTCATATCACACTCTCTTTTGACTTAAAAACATGTGTCTGAGAGTGTCCAGTCTGCCTGGAAAAAAAATCTTAACTGTTTAGTGACCCCATGGGGGGAGTATTAGGGCTCATCCCTTTGGGGTTTTGCTTAGCAAAGAGGTGCGGGGCACTGGACCTTGTGTTGGATGCCATCTATTCCTCCCATCCCACACTGGGGCCCCTCTGGTTTTTTTCAGCCAACACGTACCCGAGCACCAAACCTCCGCAGCACTGGCCAGGGCTCCTGGGGATGCAGCTTAGCCTTGGTGGGGTTTTCTGGGGCTCCTGGTCTCTTCCAGCTGAAGTGAGGGTCTGCTTGGCTTCTTTCATCCCAGCATCCTCCCTCCCTTCTCGCCTCTCCTCCTTTCTGACGTACACTGCGACGGGGCTTGGTGCCCTTTGCCAGAGCAGTGGTTTCAGCTCTGAATCCTCCTTTTTTTGGATGGGCATCGTTCTGGCGAGCACCATTGCCCATTGGGTGTATCCTGACTATACCACACCCTAAGCACCTTTCTGCAGTGCCAATGGACAGAATCAGTGGGGTGCGCAGGGATGTCCCTAATCGGGTCTGTACCGCAAGACTGAGCGAGAGCTTGGGCGCTGTGCTGTGAGCAATGGTAAACCTCTTCTCTCTCCTCCTGAGCATGGGCCCATGTCAAAGCGGGCAGCTCTTGCTCAACCCCAGCGTTCAAAATGATACAGCGGAATTTAAATCCCTGAAATGATACAGCATAAATCCCCAAAACTTCTGCTTCTCTTGTGTGTTGCCACAGAACAGCAGCTCAGGGCAGTCGTTATCAGGTTCTGCCACCTGGATCCTCTCTGCGCTGGGGGGGTGTCCGATGACATGTGCCCATTAGCTGCGTTGGAAAGTCAGGGTCCCTTGTGCCCGTTCTGAATCCTGGATTGCTTCATCAAAACATTGCTAGAAAGAGCCACGGAGGGAGTTTTAAGCCATAGTGTATAAATTGAGAGAGATGAGTAGGGTCAATTTTTGTCCCAAAATTGCTCATTAGATATCTGTCCTTCCCTAATATCTGCCCAGTATGCAATTCCAGCAGCAAAAATTAAGCAGTGGTTTGGTTTTTTTCTGATCCCTTTCTGGGACCGCGTTTGGAGCCAGAGGCGGTCTGTCTTCTGGGTAGGAGGTTTATTAGTCTGTGGTATAAATATGTGCATGCATCATTTTGTGAAAGGTGATGTTGCATCGTGGTACAAAATTCAGTGGATCTGTAGGTGTGGTGTTGGAGATGGGAATCCATTTTTTCAGAGGGGTGTCCGTGCACCACAGCCCTTCTCCCTCCTTGCTGAAGCCTTCTGTTTTGCTCCAGGGTGATGCTTCCAAGTCTGATTCCGAGGGGGATCTCTTCCCCCACAGCCTGGAAGAGGAGGGAGGACTTAAGAAAAACTTGTCGAATCCAGCCTGTGAGTAATAACCCTGAGAGGATGGGCTTTTCTGCAGAAACCTTGCTTTGCTGTGAAAACAATGTGTCCTGAAGGGAAGAGCCCTCCTAGAGAAAGCGGTGTAGTCCAAACTGGGGTGTGCTCAACTGAAGCCAGCAAGCTTTTGACGTGGGGTTGGATCTTGGGATGCAGACAGAGCCATAATGGCATTGGGGACACAATCTCCCCACCAAGCCTGAGGTCTGGGCTTTTGGGGTCTCTCTACAGGGGCATAAGTGGAAGAGCCATGGGGAAGGAGCACGGAGGGAGCCCAGCATAGGCAGGGTGTTCCCAGGGTTGGAGCTGGTGGGTGTTGGTTGGAGGGTTGAGGGGCAGCAGATGATAGTCTGCATCTACTCTCTTCTCCTGTCAGCGCATGATCCCATTCCTGATTTACATCCCCCTGCTTCCCTTCCAGGCTGAAGGACAGGCTCTCAGCTCTCCAGAAAGGCTTTCGGCTCCCATCCTCCTAATGCTTGGAGGAGAGCTGCCCCTGTGCAGCTGCTTTGCCTGCCTGGGAGCAGGTTGTAGATGTGCCCCTTGAGGTGTGACACCCAAAACCCACTTCTGTCTTCCAGTGATGGCCCTGAGCGACCACCCAGAGCTGAAGAAGAGCCTGACCCCGCCGCTGATCATACACACTGCTGCCACGCCGATGCCCATGCCCAAGAGTGCCATGTTTGGAGATGCAGCGCAGGGCTATGAGTCGCGCCGGGCCAGTGGCGTCTCCATGGACCCCGCCACCTACGAGCTCAAGTCCCCGGTACTCATGTTACCGCCTCCTGCTGATGCTCAGCGGGTGTCCGTTGGCCTCGCGGGGCCGTCTGTCCATCCATCTGCCCCATCTGGCGCAGCAGCAGCCCAGCATGGGGTGGGTGGCACAGGGCTGATGCTCTCCCTGTCCTTTCCGCAGCCCAGTGCCCGCAGCTCCCCGCACAGCCCCTGGAGCGCCAGCAGCAGCTGGAACAGCCGCCGGTCCAGCTGGAACAGCATCGGCCGGGCCCCCAGTCTCAAGCGTCGGGGTCAGAGCAGTGAGCGCAGATCCCTTCTCTCCGGAGAGGGGAAGGAGAGCTCAGAGGAAGGGGAGAGCTCTGATGAGGAGCGCTCCAGCCGGGCTGGCAGCTTCAATGGCTCTTTGCCTCATCGCATGGAGTCGCTGGAAACAAAAGGCTCCTTCGACCTCCAGGATACCCTGCAGGTGCCCTCCCTGTACCGGACCAGTAGCATGCACAGCAGCCGGACCTCCGCCTCTGAGCACCAGGACTGCAACGGGAAGACCTCTCCGGGTCTGCTGCTGCACCAGCTCCACCTGGATGACCCTCGACAGGACTGCGATGACTGCGATGATGAAGGCAATATGGTAAGGAAATGCCAAATGCTCATTTTGGGCTTTTCTCCTTGTCAAAGTGATGCACGTACCTCTCTCAGGAGTGCACAGGTAGGTGTGAAGCAATGGCCCATTGCAGGGACTGGGTCTCGCCAGAAGAGCACCAGAAGGTCTCTGGGCTGTGGATGCCACCAGAAACGGGTTGGCATCGTATTAAGTATTTCAGTGCAGCGTCAGATGGTTCATGCTGGAGAGACAGGGCAAGACTCCCCTGGTTCCACTAAAAGGTGCGGCGTAAAGGCAATCTCTTGGAAATACACGCTTTTCTGGTTTTATTTTTTCTTTTTTTAAAAAAAAAGCAAGTAACTTCCCCCGCTCTCCAACCATTATTCAGCTCTCTGTCCCCATGCACAGCAACAGACAATTTCTGCTGACACCAACAGGCAAGGAAAGGGCAGGGTTTGGCCCCCCATTCCCATGGCAGCGTTAGTCCTGTAGAGACGGTGGTAATTTCAAAGGCTTTGCATTAATTTCAATATGAAGAGGCATTAGTCCAATAAGCACATCTCTCACATGGGCCTGAAAAGAGCCATTTAGGAAATGTTAGCTAAAAGGGCTGCAAGCGCAGGGAAGGGACAAGGGTCCCTGGCTCTTTTTCCACATGGATGTTTGTATTTTAAGGGAAAAAAAGGAATTTGCTTTCCAAGGTTTTTTGCAAGGCTGGCAGAGAGGGGCTTGAGCTGGCAGCAGGATGCCTGCAGGGACTGTCCTGTCAGGATGTTCCCGGGACAGGTTTGGGGG